CTCTCTCTCTTCTCTTAAAAAAAAATATTTGTCCCAGCACACTACGTGTGTGTGTGTGTGTGTGTGTGTGTGTGTTCACTCAACCCCACAGACTCTGCACTAGGCCTCCCTGGGGCCATGGAGGACTTTGCTTACTATGTTTTTTTTTTTTTTTTTTCATTTGTGGCTTGAGGGTGTTTTAGTTAAGTCCTAAGCAAGTTTCCATCTTATACTAAAGGAAAAAAAATATCTAAAACTAACAGAAGCTCAGGGTTGGAAAGGATTTATTTAGATCAACCATTCTTTTCACACTTTCCACACCACTCCTTAAAAAATGGTCATTGAGCCCTGCATGAAAATATACAGTATCAGAACACTCTACATACTAAGCCATCTTGTTCCATTTTTATGTAATGGATTTGTTCTACCCAAGAGTTTATATAATCTGAGAGTTCACTTTTATTTATATTTTATTTTTGTTACAGCATTATATACTGTGGTATAATATATATATATATATAAAATTTGGAATTTGATTTCAGTCCCTGTTCCCTGCCCTTTTCCTCCCTTTTCTCTTCCCTGTTCTCCTCCCTTACTCTACTGATCTTCCTTTTGCTCATTTATTTATTATTTTTTGATTGGTTGTTTCTACTTATACATAAAGGCAAAATTCCCTATGGTATATTTATATATGTGCTTAACATGATTTTTAAATTTTTTAGTTGTAGATGGACACAATACATTTATTTTATTAATTTTTTAAAATGTGGTGCTGGGGATTGAACCCAGTGCCTCACATATGCTAGGCAAGTGCTTTACCACTGAGCTACAACCCCAGCCCACAGAACATGATTTTGTTAAATTTGTTCCATATTTCCTCCCTTTCTCATCCCTCTTTCCTCCCTTTCCATCTCCTTGTTCTAGTCCACTGATCTTCCCTATATCTTTATAATATCTGATCCCCACTCCTTCTTTCCTTTATTTTGGAGAGCCCTCTTTTAAAGTAAGTTGAAATTGGTCTTGTTACTATTCTTCTCAATGTTCTTCTGATTTTTAGTATCTTTATGAACTCATGGATTTTAGTATATTTGAAGGTTTCACTTCATTCCATTTATTATCATTATTGATGCTCAGATGTGGCCAGTGTAATATGTGTTCAGGTTAGGTTGTTTTGACCGAGCTCCATTTGTCTTTGATAATTCCCTTGCTTTTTTGTATAAAAGGATGTTCCCAGGCTCATCTTGTACATTTCTTTACCAAGGCCAAGAATTAGCCATTGCTCTAAGAAGCCTTAGTTCAGTTTCATTTATTTTCAAAATGATATTTGAGAGAAATTTCCTTTTTGAATGATGTTTTTCTGATCATTACAATAGTACTTCTTTTGATAGAAAATACTAAAAGAGATGAAAAAAAATCTTATAAGCCACTGATACCACTGTTATCTAGAAATAGTCAATGTTAGCATTTTATCTCACGAACCATCTTTTCATTTAAAGTCCCATACCATGCCTCTCCTTTTTCTAAACAGCAGGGAAATAGGCCACATATTAAACATTTAGGCAAAATAAATTGAATAACTTATTTTGAAAAATCTTGATATCTGCTATTCAACATCCAGAACAAACTGGTATGTGTGAAAAATGTGGATAATGTGGGTTTTTGCAAAAGCTGTTTTGGTACCATTGTTGGCAATACCTAAAATCATCTCCAAAGTTGCAGGAATCTGCTAGAAGGCAAGCAGAACTCCATATTTTCAATGAAAATGAAAATATACCAAAATGGAGTCCTTATGGAGCCAGAGAGTATTTTTAACTTGTCAACCTTTCATTTGTAGCACATATAATAAAGTTCTTAAAGTTCTTAAAATGTTTAAAGCTGGGATTTTAAATTACTGGAGAGCTATATAAAGCTTAGGTTACTATTAATGTGCCTGTAGTCCAGCTCTAGTTACAGGGTTGTCATTGTTTCCGATGACAAGGTTTGTTTTTATTTTTTCAAGATCTTTAGTAGCCTGGAAGAATAGGAATGGGGTCTCTCCATGTTCACAGCAATTTCAAGCATAAAGTAGAAACCAGTGTCATGGACAAGATCATATGAACTAATTTTCTAAATATCTTTGTTCCCCCAAGTGTTTCCAATGTGAAAACAACCTGGGAACTGCTTTCCCTTGCCCCACCCCCATATCACTGGGTTCTGCTTCACTTGCATCTTCCCTGGTTGAAAGAGGACCAGGTGGCATTTACTACCAAGTTTTGTTCCTTTTGTCAACAGATGCTTCAATGTCCAAAGGGCTTTTTGTGTCTACAGCAATATTCCTATAATCCCAGCAATGCAGAAGGCTGAGGCAGGAGGATCACAAGTTCCAGGCCAGTCTGGGCAATTTAGTGAGACCCAGTCTCAAAATATAAAATAAAAAGAGCTGAGGATATACCTCAGGGGTAGAGCCCCGCTGGGTTCAATCCCTAGTATCACACAAACACACAAAAAAATTAAAATCTCTCCAAGATACTCATGTACTCCAAGATTAAAGTTAACCTGATTTGAAAACTATACAGTGGATCTTTTATTCGCCTCTCTCATGTGCTAATATATAATATGCTTAGATAGTTAAGAGCAGTGGTTTACAAATCTTGCCCTCCACTGATGCCTTACTATGGAGAAGCTCCCATCAGTATTGAAATAAGAAAAAATTTAAGAATAACAAAGTACATATATGAAGACATGAATGGGTGTGAATATGCTTTGTACACAACTAGAGATATGAAAAGTTGTGCTCCATATATGCAATAAGAATTTTAATGCATTCTGCTATCATATATAAATAAAAAAATTAAATTAAAAAAAGAATAATATGGGAGTGGTTGGGGTTGTGGCTCAGTAGTAGAGTGCTTGCCTAGTATGTGTGGGGCACTGGTTCAATCCCCAGCACCACATAAAAATAAATAAAATAAAGGTCCATTGACAACTAAAAACATTTTTTTTTAAAAAAAAGAATAATATAGGAAATTTCATAAAGTTCAATTGATTCATTTCAAGGATTATTCTTTATAATTCTCTCTTTTCCCTTTTTTGTGTTCAAATGTTCTTTTCTTTATTAACTGAGGGTAATAACATATTATACCTCTTTTTTCACACAATTACTTTTATTTTTGTGGCAAGTACATATTAAATATACTCTTTAAGCAAATTTCCAGTACACAACATACAATGTGGTGTTAACTATAGTTTTCATGCTGTACAGTTGAATTCTATACTTTTATCCTATATAACTGCAACTTTGTATCCTTTGGCTCACATCTACCCCTTTCTCCTGTCTCTCTGGATCCTTGTAACCATCTTTTGTTTAACTCATTTGCTTCTTTGCAGGGGTGAGCAGGATACTAGGGATTGAACTCAGGGACGCTCAACCACTGAGTCACAACCCCAGTCCTATTTTGTATTTTATTTAGAGACAGGGTCTCACTGAGTTGCTTAGCACCTTGCTTTTGCTGTGGCTGGCTTTGAACTCATGATCCTCCTGCCTCAGCCTCCAGTGCCGCTGGGATTACAGGCATGTGCTACCAAGCCTGGTTCATTTGCTTTTTAAAGATTCCATGCATAAGTGCATAAGTGAGATAATACAATCTTTTCATTTGCTTTAGCATAATATCCTTTAGGTTCATCTATGCGATCACAAAAGGCATGGTCTTCTCTTCTTTTTTCTTTCTTTTTTTTTTTTTTGGTGGTGCAGAGGATTGAATTTAGGACCTCATGCATGCTAGGCAAGCACTATACCACTGAGCTACATTACCTGCCACTAATGGTCTTTCTTGTAAGGTTGGACAATATTGCACAATTTCTTTATTCATTCATTTGTTGAAGGACAATTAGATTATTATATGCTTGTTCCTTGTGCCCTTATTTTGTCAGAGAGTTGAGACTCTTATGTTGATCTCCACGTGGTTTTTGGAAATTTTGATGATTTGTGAAATCTGAAAATCTAGGAATTATGGGTATGAGAAATCTGAAAGTTTGATGAAAAATGAAAAATTTGAGGAAATGTTGTAATAGAAATGTGATTTTCAGTCTTTGATCCTCTAATCCCTGGGGTAAGGCGTCTCTTGGGGATCCCTGAATTTTCTAACCACCGAGTTCATTGTTGACTTGACAGTTCAGGTCCACTAAGTAGCAGAATTGAAGATGGAATTAGAAGAGATTTACTATAGGAAACACCTGTGAGGAATAAAGAAGGGAGGGAGCAGGAGGGGATTCTGGGAGAGATGTATTAATGCTGAGGTGCAGGTCTAACCTGTGTGGAAGAAAGGATGTAAGGTGGGATGGGTAGGAAGAGCCCCAGAGAGCAGCACACTTCTGGGAAACATCTTGGCCAGGCCAATGGGGAATCCCAGAACAAAGACTGCCCATCAGAAAGGTCTCATGTCAGGCAGGCATGGCCCAGCTTTAGTCCCAAACTGTTCTCACTTCATGACTGAGCACTGATACAGCAGATCCTGAAGGTGCAGCAGCTAGAGGTGGTAAGTCAAGAATTTCCCTCATAGAAAGGGTTTTCCTCGTAGAGCAATCTGTGTGGGCATTTCCATGGTTGTTACATTGGTACTTTCAGTTTTACAGAGAGAATGTATATTTCTCTCTTGGATAATGTAAGAGAAAATTAGCCACACACCAGGTCATTAATGTTTCTCTGTATATCTTGCTTTTGGTCTTGTCCCTTTAAATTTAACTAATAGCCACTTATTGATTATAATTTATCATTATGTCTGCTGGGTCCACAGTTGATTTCTTATTTGCATAAAAAGTGTAAAATCGCTGGTGACTGTGGAAGATATGGCTGGAACAACATCTGTCTTCTGTAAGAACTATGTTTCATATTAGCTTTGAAATCTTTCATGTTGCTAGGTAGTTATATAATTTAGTAAAAATTTTAATTTATTAACATTTCTTATTATTGTTTAGGACCTTGTATTAAAGAAGGAGTTTTTAAGCATAATTATTGTAGTGTGTCTTTTGTTGGTTTGCCACAGTGTGTTATCTAGCATGACAGATGCAGTGTTGGCTCGAGTGTACAAACAATCAGATCTGGACATCCTGGCTAGAGAAGCATCTATCCCAATTGTCAATGGACTCTCTGATTTGTATCATCCTATCCAGATCCTGGCTGATTACCTCACACTCCAGGTTGGTGTATTTCTTTGCCTTAAAAAACAACAAAATCAACAACTAATTCCAGACTAGCACCAAGTGGAACCATTTACTTAAGTTATAGTAATAGTGTTTCATTTCATATAACATCTTGACAAAGAATTGTAGCATATGTGTGCATACTACAAATCTCAGGGGGAAAGGGCATTGTGAAAAACAGACTATAAGATTCTTCCACTCTCAACCCTGTTCCCAACCCCGGTTCCCAAATTCGATTCTTTCAATTACTTTGCTGTTTGGGTGCCATATTTAACACAATGGATGAATAGGGAATGCTGGAACATTCTGAGTGGACTAGTCTTGTGTGATCCTACACACATTGAACTACATGGCTTGGGTTTGGAGGCCAGGGGAGTTTGCTTAGAATATTCAAAATGGTCAAAAAAAAAAAAAACCCCCACACACATTGAAGAAGGGAGCAACTTTCTATCATTTTAAGTTCAAAATGAAGCTGTTCAGAGATGAGAATAAGATCCATGGAGAGAAGAAACAATGATTTCAGATGCCAAGGTTCTGTCTGCAGGTGTGACTTTGCATAGATACCAAGATTATTAGTAAAATAAATTCAATGAGGTGAAATGAGCTGTTCTGTTCCTCATAGTGTCTCCTGCAGGGTCTTGTGCAATGCTTTTATATAGGAGATTGTAAAGTAGGATTTCAATGAATTGGAAGCTGCTTATCAAGAACATGAGATCTAAGTCAAATGAACTTGGATTTAAATCCTAGCTTAGGGGGGCTGGGGTTGTAGCTCAGTGGTAGAGCATTCACTTAGCATGTGTGGAGCCCTGGGTTCAATCCTCAGCACCACATAAAAATGAATAAGTAAAATAAAGGTATTGTGTCCAACTACAACTAAAAAATAAATATTAAAAAATAAATAAATCCTAGCTTAGCTTAGTTCCATCATCTCAAAACTGGTTAGCCTCCTTTTTTATTTAATTTTTTTTTATTTTTTTTCCAGATATACACAGCAGTAGAGTGTATTTTGACGTGTTACACATACATGGAGTATAACTTCTCATTCTTATGCTGGTCGTGTATTCATTTATGAATATAGGAAAGTTATGTTTGATACATTCTACTGTCTTTCCTATTCCCATCCCCCCCCCTTCCCTTCATTCCCCTTTGTCTAATCCAAGGAACTTCTATTCTTCCCTTCCCACCCTCTTATTGTGTGTTTGCATCCGCATATCAGAGAGAACATTTGGCCTTTGCTTTTTTGGGATTGGGTGTGCCTCTTTTTAAAATCTGATCTTTATAAATACATAAATATTGATAAATACATGAAACCTGTAGACACTTCAAGAAAACTAAAGCAAGTGCCATGTGCCCATTATGCAGTTTTCTAAAAAAATTTTTTTTTGTACTGGGGATTGAGTCTAGGGATGCTTTCCCCCTGAGCCACATCACAGCCCTTTTTTAAATTTTATCAAGAGACATGATCTCACTGAGTTGCTCAGGGCCTCGCTAACTTGCTGAGGCTGGCTTTGAACTTGCCATCCTCCTGTCTCAGCATCCCAAGCTGCTGGGATTCCAGGCATGTGCCACTGTGCCCAGCAGTTTTCTGAAATCTTAATGTGATGAAGCAAATACTTTATAATTATTTATTGTTTTGAAAAAAAAAATTACAGGTATATTTGAAGCCCATGGTGTAACTGCCTGATCCTGTATACTCCCACTCTACTAAATTATTATTTTAATGTTTGCATTTATAATTCCCAGGTATGTGTCACACACATCTATACCTATAAACAACAACAGTATTGTTAGGCACGTTTTTTAACTTTACATAAATCTGAACATACTCAGAACACCACACTGGTGTTATGGGTGCATTGGATTTCCCCTTTCTTATACCCAACAGTGAAGGCTCTGTAAAAGCAATAATTTTTGTCTCCTTTGTCCTTTGTTATACCTCCAGAGACAAGGACAATGTCTGGACACTGTGGTGCGCATTTCTTGATCGACTACGACTGAGATTCAGATTTGGAATGTGTGAAAATCTGAGTCTCTGTACAAGGTCATCTGATGTCTTGGTTTAAGATATTAGGATTTTTTTACTATTGTTTTGTGATTGTTCATTCATATTATTAAATCATTCTATACAATGCAAAAGTTTAGTAGTTTATTCATTCCAAAAAGCATTAAAATTGAGGTGAAAAATGCTTCCTTTATTTTTACCTAATAATTGTTGCACAAAAGTGGATTTTCTCCCAGACTGAAACTCCTTCATCCCTTACATTTTAGGAACACTATGGCTCTCTCAAAGGTCTTACCCTCAGCTGGATAGGCGATGGCAACAACATCTTGCACTCCATCATGATGAGTGCCGCGAAATTCGGGATGCACCTTCAGGCGGCCACTCCAAAGGTAGGGAAATTTTCTACCTTGAAATGAACTCTCACTTAAATCATATGCAATTACCTAGTGAAAATAAAGCTCTCTTCCATTCAAGGGCAGCATAGGTGAGGCCACAAAACTTAGGTTATGTTACCAGCCCTACTATTAAATAGCTATCCGGCCTCTTAAGAGCCCCATTTCCTATCTCTACAATAAGAGCTAGTCTTGGCTGGTGCCTTTCATTCTGTGAGTCTGTGTTAAAAGCATGTCTGAATTATCCCTTTGAATGCCCTGATACCGGCCATTATGATGACTGGCATCCTTGTGCATTACCATCACGCAGGCTGCAGAAAGCAGCAAAATCAAGCCAGTGTAGAATTCTCAACATATAGGAATGATGCTGTCATTTTTCTAATATTGCAATTTGGTAGAAAAATTTCAATCCAATATGAAGGTCATAGTGATGGCATCTACACCAGCTTAGTGTTTCAAACCTCAACTCCAGGGGTCCTTTGGCTTTTTAAATCTGAGTCTTTTGTGGCTGTGAAGATGATCCCTGCATACTTTCTACCATGCTGCTAATCTCCCACAGATTGTATGGAAAGCCTGACATCTTTCATAGGCCCAGGTTAACCCTCTTGATTCACAAGAAAATGGTAATAGTTGTTGCCTTTAAAGAGAAGAACTGGGAGGTTCAAGGATAGAGGCGGGAGGGAGATGTTATTTTCACCATTTATCCTTTTATATAGTTTGAATTTCTTCACATGAAATTATTTGATCTATATAATAGTATGCATGAATAAATTAATATACAAATTTGCAAATCCCTCTAGAAGAAGCCCCATTTTAAGATACTCCAGCCCCATACAAAATAAATAGGCCTTTTTAGAGGGTAAAATTAATCCTACAAGAGACTCAAACACAAACCAGCTTTGAATGATGCTAAGAACCTTTTAAACACCCTATCTTTACAGATTCTCTTCTCTATTATGTTTTTCATTAGCTACAAATATCCTATCAGGAGTCCTTTGAAAAGAAAATTCCCCCAAATAAAAATGGGATCCCAAACAAAGTCTTCACTTGTGATAAAAGATAGAATTGACTCTCTCATTAAGACATGATGCCTGTAAGTTTAGCGACTTGAGACCCTAGGGCAGGGGGATCCCAAATTTGAGGCCAGCCTTAGCAACTTAGCGAGGCACTCAGCAATTTAACAAGATCCTGACTCAAAATAAAAGAATAAAAAGGGTTGGAGATGTGGTTCAGTGGTCAAGCTCTTCTGGGTTCAATCCCCAGTAGAAAGAGAGAGAGGTGGGGAGGGGATTGTTTACAATTATTGTGCACTAGTGCATCTCTGACCAAGCATATGTGTTCTATTATATGCATAGTTACCACAGTGGTTAACCTGGAGAAGCTAAGGCATCCTGAGGTGAATATGTGGAGTTTCAAAATCCCTTTCTGTTTCTGTTTCTTGAGTTTGTGATGTGTATTTGCCAACCACAGGGAACATAAATTACACAATGTGGATTAATGGCTGAATTTCTCCAACAGGAAATATCCAAATCCTTGAGTCTCTCAAGTATTTTTTACCCCCTTCCTGATCCCCACCAGTATTTTAGACCAGGTTCCTCACAAGAAGACATCAAGTGGGAATTTGTGCACAAGTGATTTACTTCTAAGGGAGACCTATACAGGGAAAACAGGGAAAGGGAAGAATTCAAACAAGGGTGCCATTTATGGTGGCCAGACTTTCTGAAATTGAGGAACTTCTATAGGAGAGGAGCTTTCACTGCTAAAATTGGAAGAATCTTGGGTAGACCAGATGATTTGGTTCTCCTAGTGTCATGTCAGGACCAGTCTCATGGAAAGTAGCTTCAGCTTGATCCCACAGATGAGCTCTGGAGGATAAGTTATTCCTCAGAATAGTCTCAATCAGGGGTGAGGATAGTGGGCTCTTATCCTTTTGAACCTGTTGTTGATCAAGGGCAGCCGAAAAGGTGGAATGGTAAATCCCCTGTCACTTTTGTAGGAAAGCAGCCTGGTAGCTGGAAGGTTGTCTTCTGAAGAAGAACTGAAAGTACTAGGTGTTAAAAACCCACTGAAATTGGAGGAAGAAGCAAAAGTCATAAAAGCAGATCCTCTGAGGGCACCTGTGTAGGGCCCCAGCATCATCTGTTGCATCTTGCCAAAGCAAAATGAAACAATACTAAGTACTTTTCCCTCGTGTTCTTGCTGAACCAGTTTGGGTCAATGCATCTTGCTATCTTAGTTTCCAAGGGTGGCCATAAAAAATTATCACAAACTGGATGGCTTAAAACAACATAAATGCATTGTCTCACAGTTCTGGAGGCAAGATGCCTGAAATCAATGTGCTGGCAAGGCCACATTATGTCTGTTACTTAGCTCAGGGCTACATCACTCCAATCTCTGCCTCTGTCATTTTCCCTCTGTGTCAATGTGTATCTCTCTGTAAAAATGCCCCTATTCTTATAAGGATACAAGTCATTAAATTTAGGCCGACCCTAATCTAGTAAGCTGTCATCTTAACTAGCTATATCTGCAAAGTTCTTATTCCCAAATAAGGTCACATTCTGGGATTATGAGTGGGCATGTCTTTTTTTCCTTTGGGCAATACTGGGGATGGAACCTAGAGCTTCCCATATACTAACCAAGTATTCTACTGAGCTATACACACAGCCCTAGATATACATTTTTTGAGGAGAGTATTCAATCCATGTACCTGCCATTAGAAGAAATGGCATACATATGCAATAGCAGGTACTAGAAGCCCTCCTATTATGGTAAATTTTTGTGACTCAGAGATATTACCCCTATAATAGATAATTCTCTTCTTTTATTCAGCATGAACTGAAATAAAGGGTCAGATATGACATGTGCTCACAGTGGGTTTTCTTCACTTATGAGATGAGCACACTCTCACAACAAATCTAGTTTGAAGAAAGGCTCTGAATTAACGCTATCTATTATTGCATTTGGTTTCTAAGGATGAAACACACATTAACAATAATTGTTTCCTGCTATAAGGTGCTTTTAGGAGGCCTTATTCTGTTGAAAAAATATATGGTTTAAACATTTTATTGCATGTCAAAGATGTTTTATTAACATGAAAGGAAAAAATTCCAATATTACAGAGTAATTTCAGTATTGTTCTTATGCAGGAACTCATTTAAATGATAAAGAGTACTAAAACCCAGTTAAATCTTGGTGGGAGTAAGAGTTTTAAAAAATCTTCTGGAAAGTCTGATAATGCAGAAGTCACTCCATCAATTTGTAATTCTTTAGTTGTTAGTAGATCTATTTCCTTTAAAGATAAAGCTAGGAGATTTATTGTAAATTTAAGAAACACTGAAAAGTTTCCACGGCTATAACTAATCCATTTCTCCATTTTTCAACCAACAATAACTTACATGTTTAAGAAAAAATTTTGTCCGTGATTGTACGATTACTCCATAAACTATCAATGGTAATGATTTTAACATTGTTCTAAGTGAATATTTAGACTGAAGTGGATTTGTTAATCACTCTCATCATCTGGTTTTAAGATTTATGTAAAGGCCAATGAACGATTTAGTATTGAAAGCTGAGATGTGAGTAAAGAATTTCTCTCTGTATTCTAAGTCATGGTCCAGTGCCTGCAAGGTTGGGTGATTTTCTAATTTCCAAACCTCTTTCGGTTCTCTAAGTACTTATTGATTCCTTCTCTAAGAATGATTATACTGAGTATAAAACCTGCTCTCCAAAGGGAAGGCTAAATTTTCAGGGCAGGAGGTACCTGGGGTAATATCCAAGACTCTTCATTTATGTTTACCAGTATGACTGTTCACAGCATTAGTTATTAAATTAGCAAGGCTTTATTAATCACTTTCCCCAAGCTCATATAAACAGTGGCCCAGAATCCATGGCCATTAGATAATGGCAAAACGTCTTAAAAATATCTGTAACCACTATCATCAACATTGGAGTAGTTCTTAAAGAAGTTTGTAATTTGAGAGGAACTATAGTAGACAATCACATCAATCACATGTAAGTAAATAAGGTTACAAATGAATAAACCAGGACACGCCTGTCACGTTTCCATGTACCAGAAAGCAGAATCTAAGAGTTCAGAGTGCAGGATGTGCAAGATGTTTATCACAGTGTGCCCTTGAGATCAACAACTGTGGAAAGGTAGAAAAGGAAGTAAGAGTGGACAGAGGTAGAGGCTGATCTGCAAAGCAGGCCTAACAACAGTCTTGGCCAACTAGGGAGTATTCTGAATCTGAGATGGCCATTTGGAGCTTTCCAGAGCTGGGCAGAGAGGATCAGGTTTTCATACCCTCCTGTTAATCACTCATTGAATATGGGGCCCTGGAAAAATGCATGACCTGGGGTGAGGTAGTTTTCTGAAGCTCAGTCAGTACCCAAAGGGAGCCGACAGCTAAAGGCAGTCTTCTGGCAGCACCCCAGCAGCCAGAAGGAATAATTCTTTATGCATAATTATTCACGAAGGGAAGGGGGCTGAGAGACCACAATACTCCACTGAAAAAAAAACTTAAAAGTCAACTTATGAGAAATGCTCGGAAACCAGGAAGATGAGAAGAGTGGACGAAGGTGAACATAATCATGGTATTTGAACTGACTAATTTTCCATATGGGAGGTCCAGAGGAAAGACTGAGCTGGGGTTTTGAGGAGTTGGCCTCTTCTGATGAAGATTCCCAGGAGGGGACAAAGGGGATAGTGTTCAAAGGTGAAAGGCTGTGGTTAGGTTGAGGCTCAGACCCAGAGAAACAGATTCAGGATGCTGGCCAGTGAAGGAAGATGCAAGGCACATTTGAGACAGTAGACATGCTTTATTCAGAGGCAGCAGCAGCCTCCATTCCCCCAACCCACTCCAGGCTTTCTAGAAGCCTTTTTTTTTATATGTAGGTCCAACGAAGAAGGCACAGTACCAAAAGGTTACATAAGTGAATGCATGCTTATAAGGAGATATTTATAACCTTGAGTACATATGCTGAATCAGGGTGATTATGACCTTGACTACATACTAAAACATAACTGGCTGCAAGTCCCAGTGAGGGAGCCTAACTATAGCCATCTTGGGCCTGTCCTACAGCTGTGATGGCAGAAAAGAACAGAATGTGTCTAGGGATGACAAGAAGATTGGCTTTCCTATAGCAAGATATTGAGACAAATTAGAAGAGAGAGAAGCAGGGATGTAAGTGGGAGATCTTGATACTCTTAATCTGTTTTGACTTAAGAAACAAGTAGTAAACATGGAGGACTTCAGAGAAAACAATTCTTACTATTGTGTACAGAATAGATTGGAGGATGAGGAAAGGCTACCTGTTGAAGTCTGGAATAGCTTGGGTAGATTTAGTTTCCCCAAAATGTCCCCAAACTTGGACTAGGGTGAGCAAGGAAGACACCTCAAATGCAAAATTTGTGCTTGTACTCTAAGAACAAGTGTTTCCTAGAATTTTGCACCTTATGCACCTTGCCTGCCTCACCATACCAATCAAAAAATAATATTAGTAAAAAAAAACAACAACAGTGTACTTATTGTGTGAAGACCATTTTAAGGCAAGTACCCTGCAAAAGAATAAGGTTTTTTTTGGGGGGAAGTCTGGTAGTATTTAGCTGGGTGGTCAGTGAGGGTTTTCTGAGCAGGGTTCATTAAAACTGAGATCTGAAAGCATTATCCACATGGGATGGGTGGGGAAAAGCATTGCAGACAAAAAAGAACAGCATGTAGAAATGTTCAAATAAAAATGCATGAAGTTGTACAATTATGTATATAATCCTCTTAAGCTCTTAAGGGAACAAGATGAAGGTCTGCCAAGAGCTAGAAAGCATACTCCATGTTTATCTTTATGACTAAAAAGAGGTCAAAGATCATCAAAGAAAGGTGAACCAATTAGTTGCCTTTTTAAATTTCAAAAGGCACTATGAAAGTTTGAAATTCTAGATATAAAAATCAATTCTACTGAATGTGGTTGGGCGATATCTTTAAAAATGGAAGGAGAGAGGGCCTACTCTCAAAAATAAAATAGTCCATGCATTAAAAAAAATGTATAAGACAATTACTTAAGGGATGAGAGTGTAGCTCAGTGGTAGAGCACTTGTCTAGCATGCACCAAGCCCTGGGCATCCATCCATCCCCAGCACTGAATAAAACAAAAATAAAAATTAAAAAAAAAAAAACAATTACCTAAATAACAGTTAAATTCTTCCTCCTGCAGGGTTATGAGCCGGATCCTAGTATAACCCAGTTGGCAGAGCAGTATGCCAAGGAGGTATGCTCCTTATTTGTAAAGCTATGATTGCCTCACTCTGTCTCATGAAGTTGTTTAACCAGCATGCTTATGTATGCTAGAATGGTACCAAGCTGTCACTGACGAATGATCCATTGGAAGCGGCACATGGAGGCAATGTATTAATTACAGACACTTGGATAAGCATGGGACAAGAGGAGGAGAAGAAAAAGCGGCTCCAGGCTTTCCAAGGCTACCAGGTTACAATGAAGGTACAAGTTGATGCCTCTCTGAAGGTTCATTAATTCCATTCATAAAGGCCACAATCATCTAATCACTCATTCATTTTAGGAAGAGCAAACTATCCTTTCATACTCCATAAAGAACTCATGTATCCCCCAGGGATTTCTCTCATCCCAGTGATTACCTGTGTCCTTTGGGAAAGACACTTTTTTTTTGCTGGACAAAGAAATTTGAAACCCAGGCAGCAGAGAGAAGCGTGCTGTTCCCTGTTATAGGAACAGAGATATCATAATATAATACATCCATGTATGTTTAGAGATATTAGGTTACTTCTGATGCATGCAATTTCTTCTGATTTCTCTTGTAAGAAAAGCCCCATAATCATGCTCATTCTTGCTTCTATTTTCTAAGGACCCTACATTCAGTTTAGTTTTGCCAAATCCTTCAGGGCATTCCCAGCAAACTCATTCAATTTGATACCTTCTGGTAAGACTTGAAGCAGTGTAATTTTGATCAGGCATTAGAATCACCTGGAGGAAATGTTCATGCATTGCTATCTGAGCCCCTCCTCCAAGGGTTCTGATTCAGTGGGTCATGGGTGAGACCTGAGAATTTGCATTTCTACCTAGTTCCCAGGTGATGTAATACTATTGGTCCAGGGCCACACTTTGAGAATTGCTGTCTGGGCTGGTCACAGTAGTGCATGCTTGTAATCCTGGTGACTGGGGAGGCTGGATCACAAGTTCCAAGCCAACTGGGGCAAAAAATAAAAATAAAAATAAAAGGGTTAGGGCTATAGCATGATGGCAGAGTGCCCTAGGTTTAGTCCCTAGTGGTCCCACCCCAGATACCCTAAAAGTCAGGTGCACATGGAGATTTTGTCAGCAGATCTACTTTGTTGAAGAAAGTGATTAAGCAAGTACAAAAAATATTTTAGCCTGACTTGCTGGCGCATGCCTGTAATCCCAGTTGCTCAGGAGGCTGAGGCAGGAGGATCGCAAGTTCAAAGCCAGCGTCAGCAACTCAGTGAGATCCTGTTTCTAAATAAAATGTCAAAAAGGATTGAGGAGGGGCTGGGGATGTGGCTCAAGTGGTAGCGCGCTTGATGGGCATGCATGCAGCCCGGGTTCAAGCCTCAGCACCACATACAAACAAAGATGTTGTGTCCACTGAAAACTAAATAATAAAAAAATATTTAAAATAAAAGGATTGAGGATATAGCCCAGTGGTTAAGGCCCCAGGTACCAAAAAATATATATTTTATTGGTAAGGTATATATATACAAGTTTCTTATTATTTCATGTCAAACAGAGTGAAAGTTTGAAAAACAGAAAGTGAAAATATATTTTCCCTACCTTCTTAACAAGTCACTGTTCCTATAGGTATCCTAACAATTCCATGTGTTTCTTTGCAGACCTTTTTTGTGCATTTATATATGTATGCCTACACACACACCCAATCACATTATGACTTTTCATGAGTATTATTTTAAACCTATTATTCTGACTTACTTTTTCCACCTAACAAATATATTCATTGAAATATCTCCATTCTTTTTAATAGCTGCATAGAATTCTGAAGTAAGAATGAAACATAACTTGCCTATAATATTTCCTATTGATAAATTAAGCTATTTCCAAATATCCCAGTTGCAAACAATGCTAATGTACACAATTTACAGATTTATTTGTACAAATGTTACTGGAAAATAAATCCCTAAAAAATTTTCAAAATATGGGAGATGCTGTTAAATTGCCCATCTAAAAAGGATGAGCAATTTATTTTCCACAGATGCATATGATACTTTCTTTCTCCACATGTTTTCCATTCTTAGTTATTTACACTTTTAACTTTTGTAAATATGAAAGGAAAAGGTAACTCATGCTTTTTAGAATTAGAATTTGCATGATTGCTAATGAAGTTAAGCATCTTTTCATGTTTATTGGCCATTTTCACTTCTTTTCTATGAATTGCTATCATATCTTTTGCTTGTTTTCTAATTTTTGCCTTTTAATCATTGATTATAGGGGCTTTTATATGTTATAGTGAATCCCTTATCATATATGTTGCACATATTTTCATGGAGATATTTTAAATTATCCATGGTTTCCCACATAATTACCTTGACTACTCTTAGGTGTTCTTCTGGTGTCAGGGATGTAGGTGTGAAGAATGGTTATTCACTAATGTATGACTAATATAAATGCTACTCCTTTTCCTTGTCATTTTTCTAGTATTTTAGAAATTAAGAATGTTCTGAACTTAAAGCTAGGGTGGAGGTAGAGAAAAATTTTAGTACAAAAGTAATGCTTTTAATGTAAGAAAGTATGAGGATATATAATTTTGAATCTGTTAAGTGTACTATGGAAATAGAATGGAAAATGTAACTTTCAAAAATTAACTGTTAGAAGCCTGGCATGGTGGCACATGCCTGTCATCCCAGTGGCTTGGGAGGCTGAGACAGGAGGATTATGAGTTCAAAGCCAGCCTCAGCAAAAGTGAGGTGCTAAGCAACTCAGTGACACCCTGTTTCTAAATAAAACACACACAAAAAAATAGGGCTGGAAGAGTGGCTCAGTGGTTCAGTCGCCCCTGAGTTCAATCCCCAGTACCCCCCGTCAAAGCAAAGAACTGTTAGAGAAAATTGTGACTGCTAGTACATTTACATTAAGAATGAACTATCCTTAGAACTGTAATAAATAAATAATGTTGGTTTTAAGTAAAAAAAAAAGAACACATTTGTTATTACTGTAATTACCTGTTATCTGATATTACTACCAGTATTTTCTTAACGAATAATGTAGTGGTGGTTAATATGAATATTGTTGACTATAATATTTTTGTTATTTCTTATAAGTAAATAAAGTATTACATAATTTTAAAAAAAGAATGAACTATATAGTGTACAGTGTTCATAAACCTGTTTAATTCACTCTTACTTTGGGGCTTTTTTTCCCCAAAAAATCCCATAGTTAGGCACAATGTATACTTCAAGTGCTAAAATAATTCTTTGAAAATAAGCTTAAAATCAAATATTCAAAGCAACTTCTTAAATATATTGAGATAAAATTGGTGACTTTTGCTATCAGCCACATATTATACTAGTAGAGTTCTTTATTGAAACGTCCACTATCCCACTAGACAGAATACCAGAAAATCAAGCTTAACTTGGAGGTGATGATCTCCCAAATAAAATAAATGATTATTGAAATGCCATAAGGATAAAATACTATATACATTTCCCTTGGGTGTCTTGTGCTAAAAACTTTACTCTGCCTCTTTATCTCTCTCATTACATTGATCTCTGACTCCATGTTATATGTGTTTGTAAATACTGAAAAAAGATAAACATGACTGTCACATGTAATAGTCAAACTGTGATCTTGTCTCCATCTCTTTAGACTGCCAAAGTTGCTGCCTCTGATTGGACATTTTTACACTGCTTGCCCAGAAAGCCAGAAGAGGTGGATGATGAAGTGTTTTATTCCCCACGGTCACTAGTGTTCCCAGAGGCAGAAAACAGAAAGTGGACAATCATGGTAAGCGAAATGGGAAATTAAGGGATAAGGAATTCTCTGGGTCATTCCAACTTGGTTGTTCATGCTTTCTGGTAAATAACAAGCAACCAAGGTTATCCAACTATATTACTTGTTCATATGGCATCTATTTCTTTTCCAGAAAACTCATGATAAATTGTTATTATTCATTAGTATTTTTAACATATTTTAATGAAGTAAAATTTTAGTGAATTACCTGGTCTTAATAGTGGTACCAGCCAGGGTCTAACACACAAACAACTGAGTCCATTCTAGGTGGATAAATAGAAAGGAATTTATTAAAAGATGTTAAGCAGTTCCCAGAATCTCTCAGGAAGGGGATGTCGTGAATCATTCTTGGACACCACATACCAGGGTCAACACAGCAGGAAATTTACTCGACAACATTGCAGATCAATTATAGCCAGAAAACCATTGATATAGTCACTCACAACTTAGTACCAAAGGCCTTTGAACTAGATGCCATACTCCATCTAAAACAAATACTTCTACCTGCACATGGAGCAGAAGATCCAATCTCTCAAAGTATGGCTTCTACTCCATGTTATTCACTTTTGCATCCAAGTGTTGAGTAGTTGCAGCTGAGTCATATGCTTGCATCCTAGCTTCAAGGGAGTCTGGGATATGTAGTTTTTAGCTTTCAGTCTTGGAGTAGAGAAAAGTTGGAGATGACTATCTGCTAAGAATTTATAAGTAAGAATGTGGTGTTGTGAATATTAAAATGATACATGTAAAGAATTTAGCAGTACCTAAAACATTGTAAATATTATAATTATTATCATCTTCATTGTTGATTTGATACAATGACCAGCAGGAGTTCAAATTCCACTATGGCTGCTTAGAAGCCAATCATGGCTTCTTTTTCTGGGGGAGGTTCTCTATCAGGCCTAAATTTGTCATATCCAATAATAATTATTTTACTGTATCTTTCCCATTTGTCACCTGAGGATACTAACTTTGTCAAATGTTAGATAGCAAATGAGTTTTAATCTTGGGTTCTTAATCTCATCAACTGGCCACTTGGAATCAGAAAGAGTGGCATAACCAATTAATTAGTGTGTGTGATATGGACACTGGAAAGGTACTCCTTATGTCTCTGAGCTGGATGATCTGGAGGTTTCTTTGAGTTTGGTTCATTTCAGCAGTTATAGCTTAGCATCTACTATGACAAATGACAATTGCCATGTCATCCAGACTGGATCTTCTGAAGCTTTTGTGCACTTAATTCACCCAGGTATCTTGTTAAGTGCAGATTCAGATTCAGTAGGTTTGAGATGGGACCCCAAATTTGGCACTTCTGATAAGCACCCAGGTAATTGAGGTGTCACTGCCTTGTGAACCACATTTTGAGTAGCAAAGAACTAGATGACAAGAAAGAAAATGGAAGCTTTCCAACCTCAGGAAGATAAATATATATATATATATATCCTCAAGTTCTGTTTTTCTCATCAGAAGACAATTGGAGTTACAAAGATAAATCAACCAAATCTATTACAGCAGATTGTAGAAATTCAGGGGATAAAACTTGGGAAAAAAAGCCTTCTAAAATATTAATTTTAGAGATGCTCTACAATTCTAAATTTTTAGAGCCTAACGAACAGTATATTTAGATTCAATTTATTTAAAATTAAATAGCACATTCACATGGTTGAAATGTTTACAAGGAGACACACACAGTGAAATCTTATGTTCCATTTTGCATCCATATAGGTCTTGCTACTGTCTCATCATTCCCTATTCTCCTGAGATACCCACTATTATTAGCAGAAAATGTGTCTAAAAAAACATGAAAGCAGAACCATGTTAAACTGAAGATAGAGAATCTAAAGTAGAAAGAATGCTCAACTGGGAGTGAGGAGATGACTTCTATAACTGGCTTCTGTTATCTGCGCCATCTTGGAAAAGTATTACCTCTCTAGGTCCCAGTTTCCCCACTGATAAGTAGATTGAGCCATAGAGATGGAAAATGAGTTTTAATCTCGTCAATGGGCCACTTGGAATCCTGTGTGGAGAAGGATTCTGAATCTGCTTGTGGTGTGGGACAGAAAGAGTGGCATAACCAATTAATTAGTGTGTGTGATATGGACACTGGAAAGGCACTCCCCCTTATGTCTGAGCTGGATGATTTGGAGGTTTCTTTGAGTTTAGTTCATTTCAGCAGTCATAGCTTAGCATCTACTGTGTACCAGAACCTGTGCCCAGCATTGGAGATTTAAGAGAGAAAAAGAAAAATATGCAGTCCTCACATAGTCTATATAATTCACAGATACATAAACTTTTCAAGTAGGATGAGAGCTTAGAGATCAACTGGACTAAGTTCCTGTTTTATAGGCAAAGAAATTATTCATAGACAATTTATTCAGAATGGCCTTTAGGCTCAGCACCACCGTGATTGATTTTTTTCTAGAATCTCTAAAGGGACATTACTTGTTTACCTCTAGAACTTCCCTATCCAATATAGTTGCCACTAGGCACATGCAGCTATTGAAGTTTAAATTAAATTTTAATAAATTTGAAGAATCAATTCCTCAGTCACGCTAACCACAATACTCATATTAAGTGCTGAATACTCACTGTGGTTAGTGACTACCATGTTGGACAGCACAGACAGAACATTTCTATCATTTCAGAAAGTTTCTATTGGACAACATCACCCTGGGGAATGATTTTTGCACACATAAATTCATTTAAGATGGAAGAAGGAAGAAAAAACACAATCTGGCCTCTAGTTCTGAGCTGATAATATCTATAATGACTGATGTAATGTAAGGTCTAACTAAGAGGGTGAAGAACTTATTCCTAAAGCATGTGACAACTTTCAAGCAGAAGTGTACTCTTTCAGTAGCTTTTATTTTTTGTTTTGTTTGGTTTTCATTCAGAGTAACTTTTTAACAGCTTCATGCTGGGTGATTTCCAGCAGTGATGCTCTGAAGGTTCTAGTAATCACACCTTTCTCTCCACAGCACATAGGTCTTTGGATCCCTTTGTTTTAAAACAAAATTTACCCTTTTCTCCCTACAAAGCTTGCTCTTTTATTTTTCAATGATTAGTAAGTCAGTAGGTCCTCCAAAATGTCAGGTAGGTTTCTTCCCCTGCCAATAAATTTTGGAACTAAAGAAACATAAAGGGACTCTGCAAAAGGGCTGACACTTAATAACACTGTTATCTGAATGACCCTTAAGCACATAACACCATTGCAATTGTAGCTTACCGTATTTAGAGTCTAGGGTTACCAGATAAAATATAGACACCCAGTTAAATTTGAATTTCAGATAAACAATGAACAATTTTTTCTATAACTATGCCCCATGCAATATTTGGAATGTGCTTACAGTAAAAAAATATTTTTTGTTTATCTGGCACCCCTATTTAACTGTCTATATTTACTAAATCTGGCAGCCCTACCCCAAGTTGGCTTTCTAAGTTTTTTATTTGAAAATAAGTTTGACACGTCCAATGACTCTGAACCTTGAACAAAGCAAAACCTCAGATGTGATCCCAGGAACTCATAAAAAGCTTAAAATATTTTTACCTGGTAGATATTCTTATCCCAGATTTTAACTATTTCCGTCTTGTCATTCAGATCTCACCTTAAATGTCATTCGTTTAGCAAGGTCTTTCCAGTCTGCTTACTCTTCCCCCCCCGCCACTCTAGGCTACCTACTCTTAAGTGGTTCCTCAGCCTCCTTTTATCCACTTAAACTTTTATTTTTCAAAGGTACTACCTGGTATTTTCTTATTTCTTTGCTACCTGTCCCTCCCCCACACACACCAAAATGAAAAATCTGTCATAAGAGCAATCATCTTGTCTATAATATTCTGCATTATACCTAGAAGAGTGCATGAAACATACCCTAAATATATGCTCCGTAGACTTTTATAACTTAAAGTCAACATAGGGTACTGATTTTAGTACACAGACTTTGGAATCAGGTTACAATTATTGATTTCTGTGAGATCTGAAGCAAGTACTTTAACCTCAGTAAGCCTAGTTTATTCATATGAAAAAATGGGGTTGAAAATAGAAACAACTTCATGAAGTCATGAGGATTCAATGAGATAAGAGTCATCTGAAAATGGTCAGGTTCCAGGGATAGTCAGGTGCATATCCACCTTTTGTCATTACCACTCAGGAAAACATACCTCAGCTTCTTCATGTGTATTTTACATCTCTTACCACTTCCTATTGTAGGAAAGGATATTAATTAGTATGAGTAACACAAAGCACTTAGCACAGTTGTCTGTTTAAAAAATATATTCAATGAACACCTTTGAAATATAAAACCTGTTCTCCTGATACAGCCTAAGGACACTTGTGCAATACAGCTGAAGTATAAGAGCAAGTACCTGAGAGGCAGTGAAAACATCTCATAAGAGTGAAGTCAGAGAAACTGGACTCCAATCCATTTCTCACAATCTGTTGTTTCAAGGGTTGGTCTCAGTCTACAAACAATGATGTCAGAAGCCATCTTAGAAGATCAGTGCATCAAATGAGATAATGCATGAACTTTTCTCTCCAACTCACCAAAGTACCTAGTACAATGCCTGGCAAATAGTTTTTGACTGACTGACACATGGTAAGGCATTTAATACACTGTCTGGTACCTAGTAAGAACTCAATATATGTTCACCATTGTTTCTGACACTGTTATTGTTGCTGTTATGGAGATTGGTAAGAATAAAAGCGAAAGTCACTATTTGTGGCTGACAGCCCAAGGGGAAGCTATACTCTTGGCTATAAAGTTAATGTTCTTTCAAGAGGACAAAAATTCATCTTGCAGATGTTATTCATTAGCCCAAATAATTTATTTTCATTAGTCTACATTTGATTTATCCTAAACTTCTCTAGGTTTCAAGTGACCAGACCACAGTGTAAACATGAGAACTGGGATAGGGGGGATTATATTTCTCTAAAACTGGCCAATTTATGGGTTTCAATTCATGATTGGAAAACACAATCATGACAACCATTATGGCATTACATTTCATCTATCTGACCTACTAGTCCTGGAATGAGGCCTAAGTAAGCATAGTGTTTGTGCTTATATTTGGGTTAGCTTGATCCCTCTGGACCTTCCTTTATCCGAATAAAAATAAATATCAGCTCAGAACTGTTCCCTTATCATTTCCTTGGAAAAACACATTTTAACTCTAGGCCTGCAAAACTGAAACCGAACTCCCCTTCCTTAGGTCCCAAAGCAGAATCTTACTAATGTTTCTCTCTCTCTCTCTCTCTCTCTCTCTCTCTCTCTCTCTCTCTCTCTCTCTCTCTCTCTCTCTCTCTCTCTCGTTGTACTATCCCAGGCTGTCATGGTATCCCTGCTGACAGATTACTCACCTAAGCTCCAGAAGCCAAAGTTTTGATTCTGTGTTGCTTGTCAAGAGAAAATGTTCTTCAGTAACAACAGAATGGGGGAAAAAGAAGAGAATCTAAGATATAAACAAATCCCTAATACATGGTGTGGGTGAACTGTATGATATTGCTTTGTCATTGTGAGACTTTCCTGAAACCCTTAATTTAAGTGCCTAGGCACTGTAATACCTGGCTTGACTTGGTTTATACTCTCTAATTCACAATTTCTGAGTTGCATTTGGGTATCATATTAATCATCATGTACATTTGCTTCAACTAAACATAAAATGCCATGTTCATTATGCATAATATCTAAGCCATTAAATGTAATCTATGCTTATTACTTTAATAAATGATAACCCATGCTAATTTATAAGTAAACATTTACCAGGCAGTCAGCTTCTGGTAGATCTGTGGGCTGTGTTCATGTCCCCCAGGACCAACGAGAAAGCCAAATGATGTATCTTGCAGATGTGGTAGTTTTCAGACCAATGAGGAAGACAGATAGTCATAGAGACAAATCATGAAAGTCTTGGAAAACAGCTATTACTGTGTCTAAACTGGAGGTTTTTTTTTTTTTTTTTTTTTGAAACATTTATGGGAAAGGACGGGGGTCCTTCAAGACTATGCACCTTTTCTCTGTAATGAATACTTAGTATCACACTCTGAATGAAGCCTTTGCTAGCAAGTAGAAAAATCACAGCTACCTAGCCAGGAAGATAAGATCCAATAGAAAGTGAAATTTTCTTAGATTCATATTTTCCAGCAAGAGCAATCTAATTTTTTTCACATCAGTCCTTATCGTGCATCTATTCACATCACACACTGGATATTTCCATAAATCTACTACTTGCCATGTTTTTGCCACTGTTTCTCCTCTAATATTTCTTCAGGATAATCAAAACTTGCATTATTGAATTGTCATAATATAATTAAAACTAGATTTCTCTTGTGGGTAACCAAAATTTATATTGTTAATTATTGTGATATAATTAGAAGTGTTTTGGTTAAAACATTAAATAACATAGTCAGAGCTTTAAAAATATAACATAAGGTACAGAGGATAAAATAATCCAATTTCCTTTATATTCCACTTCTAGTGTTAGAAGAATGTTTCTAGGCTGGTTGACTGATATTCTTCAGCAGACAGCTATGACTTAATTGAGTAAGCAAGAGATGAATTACAAATTAGATTTGCAATGAAGATGCAATAAAACATATTTTGTCGGGCAGGGGGAACTCATGACGTTTGGGAAAAAATCAATTTTTCCAGTAAATGTCAAAGGTGACTTTCACATCTATGGTAATTTATTGGAAGCACTTTAGAAAGAGAGTAGGGTTTAGTGGAATCTTTTTTTTTTCCCAGCAGAAAGCATAGGAACAATTTAACCAGAAGGTGACACACATGGATTGTAGAGCTTTGCCCTCAAACTGCCTACATAGGAAGGAAAATTTTTCCTGTTACCAAATGGCCCCCTCATGCTAATGAACTCTCATATATTTTCCTGGCTATTTTTTGAACCAAATGGATGGTATTTATCCTTTTTTTCCTCAATCAGAAGGAACATGTAATCATTTTCTTGCTAAAATGCAATTGCTTTTTCCTCAAAAAGCCCCAAAGCTTTCTTTTTATGTATACACAATTTGACATACTTCTCCAACCAAGCCCATAGGAATTTCTTTGCTCTTTAAACTTCTCCTCTTAACAAGATATTATTTATATCATCAGGAAAAAAGAAAACAGTGGAGGGAAGTTTGGCTTTCATTTTTGCAAAGCTATTTTTATCTTGTCTTTCTTCTTATACTTGCCTTCATCATTCAATTTCTTATGTAACTACTGCAACTCCACAGATTAACAAAAATTCTAGCAATGACCTTTGGGTCCCTGGTGTATATATGAAACTCTATCTACTTAATTAATATAACTAACCAAAGAATTCTTTTCTTCCAGGCTTTCGCCTCTGTAATATTGGGAATATAAATCCCAGGTGATTATACTGCAATGATTTCAATGTTAAGGAAGAATCCTGTGTGTGTATGTGTGTGTGTGTGTGTGTGTGTGTGTGTGTGTTTGAGAGAGACAGAATGCAATATTAATTTTAGGGACTTCAGAAAAATAATTCAATGTCACATATATCTAATACATATTTTACTAATGATTTGGCTTATTGTAAAGTTCCCCAGGTACAGATAACTGCACAGAGGATTGACGTGGCAATGGCACTTTAGGCCTCCTACCCAAGTAACCCTAGAACCTCAGTGAAAATAGTAGGGGCTCCTTGATACAAAGCCAAATTTCTGAAGCAAGTCTTCTCATGTGATAAAAAATGTTATGGAAGAATACATAAGGCAAGGGTATCCAGAACACACTCCCTTTGGGCCTTTTTGTTTTGGAAATTCTCATCAATGTCTATAGTGATGTTTGAGGTACATGGTGCCATTCAACAGTTTTGGAGTATTGATGTCTTTTGACAAATATGAAGGGTCATACTGAATAATGGAAAACCAGTCAAGTCACAACCAGGAGTGCCATATACTGCAAGTTGTGTCTTGGGCAAAGGTCATAGGTGAAAGATGGGAATAAAAGCTGAGATGTGGTCTGCACTTCAGTTACCAAGTCTAGTATCTCCTTCCAGGCCTTCCAGCCAGGAGGAAAGAGTGCCTTTTTGGTGAATTGTCCATCCAGTATTTTGTAAGCTTGAATAGGTACTTTGTTTTAAGTTATACAGAGGACCAGTATTTGGTAGGCAACCTTGCCATCAACAATTTACAACAGGAATGTTTTCAATATCATCTTGTACTTGAAGACAATGACACACAGACATAATGCAGCAATGCTTTTAATGGTTTTGGGTTTTGCTAGATTCCTTAATATCCCATAGTGGAAATAATAGTATCTGTCCATCTTTGGACATGACACAGATCATTGAAACAAGGATTTGAGAATCAACTCTGAAGTACCTTAATATTATAAAGAAATTCTTCTTAAAAATTATCCATAAAAATTAATATCAATTATGGCTAAAAAAAGGACAACCATAGTCAGATCAAATGGAAGTGAGTTCCTTATCATGGGCTAAAATTTTCATAGTCTTATCAATGCCAGACTTATGCCAGTGAGAGGAAACTTCATTCCTAATCAATGTTGTTGTGAAACTCATCCTTAGAGGAAATGTGAGCAAAACTGCCTTCTGGAACAAAATCATTAGGCAAATGAATTTTAAAATTGGAACAGGGTTTTAAAATTATCCAGTCTATCCCTTCATTTTACAAAAAGAAAGATCTAGGAAATAACGACAATGTTCCAAGATAGAAATTTGCCCAAAAGGGAGGGATAACTCATGGATTTAACACCTCTCTGTAATCTACTTGAGATCCTACAAATATAGCCACTTGACTTGATTTGCCCATAGGCTGAGTGGAGAATGGGAAGCTGGCTGGTCCAGGACTATGGTTCTGTGAGGTCAGGGGGTTGGAGAGCAGAATTCACTCTTGAGGCAGTGATGGACACTGATGTCCAGATGTATGCACAGAAACCCAAAAACTCCACATAGTAGACACCCATCCAGATCCATTTTACCCGGGTTTATCTTTCCCCTAGCTATTATCAGAGGTGGCTGCTGATACTCATGGCTGCCCCTTTCTATGAATTGAGGCTCTCGGCTACCAGAAATCACTTTTGGTCCAGGAGGTCACACTCACTTTCACCCTGCCACCAGCAGCCCTCCCTGTTTAGCTTCCCCTTGCTACTCTAACCTACTTCCTTTCTGAGAATGATTTCTCAATAACTTCCTTGCATATGAATCCCGATTTCAGGCTCTGCTTCTATGAAATCTGATCTAAGATGGTCTGTAATAAAAAGTTTGTGGGGGGTGGTGCTGAACAACTCTTCCTTTAGGCATCAGTAGAAGAGTAGGGTAACAACGGACAATATTTTTCAGGTTCCTGGATCATCGGCCTTTTGTAGAAGGTAGCAGAATATTAGAAATGACAAATATTTTCCTGTAGCATGTTCAAATTCATAACAAGGAGTTTGTTACCAGTACAGAATAGAAGTAAGACCAATTTACTTTTCCTACAGAAGAAGATATCTAACGACACAGTACCTGTGATTTATTTCTATGATATGCTAGCATCTTTACCGATTGGCAACCTCAGCAGCTATTTAGGTGGTCTGCCCTTTGCACCGACTTTGAGACTGTATTGGCCTACTTTAGTGGTTCTCCAACTTGAGGGTGTAGCAGAATCCTCTAAATGCCTTGCTGATACATGCATCACTGAGCCCCACCCCAAGCTTCTGATGCAGCAGGTCTGGAGTGAGGCCTGAGAATTTGCATTACTAACAATTTCCCAGGGATGCTGATGCTGATGGTCCAGGGACCACACTTTAAGAATCGTCGGTTTTGGACAATTCTGAAGACTAATATGAGGTGTTTCATCCCCATATCCATAAAGTCCCACTATAAGGTATTTGACACAACCCAGATTATCTAACAATTGACCTCTTTTGAGGCACTGAGGCCGGAGTTTCATCCCTTCTCTGCTATCTCTGCTATCTCATCCTGCTCTCCTCATCTGTAAAATGTGAGTAATACAGATCATCCTATGGAGTTATTGGAAGGATAAAACAAAGTAACATATATAATACTATTTGGCTCAAAGCAAATGCTAAATAAATATTATTCCCCTTTTGTCTGTTCAGATGTTTCTAAAACCTTATATTTTTCTTTAGTCATTTGTAAAATAATTATATTCCATTATCAGAAAAATGCTGAACAGCATAGCTGGTATAAAACATAAGGACAAGGAATGAGATTGTCTTCTGAAATTGGTAGAACCCAGCAGATTCAGTTAAGCCATTTCTCTCCAGGGATTGGTTGTAAATATGCTACTCAAGGAAGTGACCTTGTTCTTTGCCAAACTGAATCATAGGGGCCAAGAAGACTGGAAATTCAATCAAGGTGACTAAACTCTTTGCTTCGGAGGCCTTAATGTGAATATACATTTATGTGAAATAAACTGTAAGCATCCAGCAATTCTTGGATAGGGGTCCAACTGATAAAAACAGAAAAGGATTACAAAGAACTGATCAGGGTTGATCCATCTTTGAGGAGAGGACCGCTTGAAAGAAGTTTTTCAAAGTGTTCTTAAGATAGCAATTCTCAGACGTTTTCTTCTCAGAAATTTCACTCATAAATTGTGAAGATATCAAGTTCTGTTTATGGGAAATACATCTGTTGTGTATACCACACTAGAAAGCAAAACATAAATTTAAAAACATTTATTTATTAATTAACTTTAAATAACAATAATAAATCTATTAGTGGTTAACATAAATAATGCATTTTATGAAAAACAATTATATTTTCCCCCCAAAATGA